GCTCGCCCAGCAGAGAGGCTCGCCCAGCAGAGAGGCTCGCCCAGCATCTGTTCTAGAGGACCAGCAGTGACAGGTGCCTGATGAGTTTGCCAAGGGCACAAGGTCTTTGCTGCAAATGGGATTCATTAAAGCTTAGATCCCACAAAGTAGAGGACGCTAATTTCCAATTTGTCCACAAAACTGAGACATGGGACAGCCAAGCAACCAAGCAGGTTGTATTTGATACATGGCTGGCAAAGAGAGAAGCCGGGTTTTGCACCAGATCCAGAGCCAAAGACTTAGCCACATGATGTAGCTAACACCAAACCATGTGCATGAAACCCAGACACAAAATGGAGTTCAGTTTCTGAATATATTTCAGCATGGGGAGGAATTTCCTCCAAGGGAGATTCAAGAGAGTGAACACAATGGGGCTCAGATACAATGATTCAACAGCCTAATCCAGAGAACAGATACCACGGGTAAGAAATTCATGGTGGTCTACCAGCGACCAAAATGAATCGCTTGAGTATCTTTAAAATGATTCAATTTAATCATAAAATATGCCTCAAAAGAGCATTCAAATGTTTTAAGACTTTTTTTTTCTGAGACAAGGTTTCTCTGTAGCTTTGGAGCCTGTCCTGAAACTGTCTCTGTAGACCAGGCTGGCCTCGAACTCACAGAGATGAGAACTCACAGAGATGCGCCTGCCTCTGCCTCCGGAGTGCTGGGATTAAAGCGCCACCACCCGGCTAAGACTTGGTTTTACTATGTAAATCTGACTGGCCTGGAACTTGCTATATAGACCCTGGCTGTCCCCAGACTTACAGACCTCCTTCTGCCTCTGCCTCCTGAGTGCTTCATCAAAGGTGTGTACCACCCTACTGGCTCACTCAGACTATTCAAATGTAGATCTGAACCTACAGTGAACTGATGATAAGTAGGTCTTAGTCTGGAATGAAGGCTTGAGATGTCTTTTATTTAAGTGGTTTCTGTTTTGTTTTGTTTTTGAGGACAGGAGGCTTAGCCCAGACTAGCCTCAAGGATGACCTTTAACTTGTCATCCTTCTGCCTCCAATTCCTCCAAGGTCTAGTGTTACCAGTGTAAGCCACACCTTGTTTATCCCTTGCTGCAGACCCTGACTCTGGGCCTGTGAACCCTGTATCAAGCAGACTGTAGCCGTGTCTTGTTGCATGTCTTTCTAAAGGTGTTGCTCCTTATGCATTTCAAATCAAATTGAAATATTCAAATAGAACAATATGAAGCTTTCTTTTAAGATAGAACAAAGTCTCCCCCTGGGAAAATCCCAACATTCAACTTAACATATTGAAAAATCTATGTAGAGTGAATATCAGCCCTATTTTATTACTATTTAATATTATTACCATTATCTGTTTATAGGCAAACTGTCACATTATTTTATCAAGCATGCGATTTCATATTTAAGCAAATACAGCACAATTTGGCTATATGTATATAAACATATCTAAAGCATTTTTCAAGGATATAAGCACTGTATATTTAACACTGTATAAGCACAAAGTATATTTAGCACTGTAGTGCTAAAAGGACAATAAACACAATTTTCCATTCGTTGCATATGGCCTAAAGCCTTGTACAAACTAAAATAAACTTTTTAGTAAGTTTTCAGTCGTGTGTTAAAGCCTTAAATCTACCACAAAAATATTTTCAAAGCGCCTTGGCGCATAAGCTGATGGCAGGGAGAAGGCACAATCGGGGATTGTTGTGCGGCTGAGAGAGTGGAGGGACTTCCCTAGCCTTCTGCGCTGAACGGCCCCTTTCATCTGGTTTCAATTCTCTTGTTTGTGCACCTTGCCGTATTTATTATTGAATTCTTGTTTTTTCTTGTTGTTTCATGTTCCATGTTCTAGTGATGTATGAGAAATAGCTGATGAAGATGTTGTCTTTGGCACAGGGAGAGAGTGCACAGAGCCCCGAAGGATTCTGAGAGAACAAATGTGTTTGGAGCCACATAATACCCAGGCTGAACAGATGTCCATCGCGCGCGCGTCTGAACACTGCCAGCTGCCGATTCTGTAAGAAGACAGCATTTTCTTCCTAAATACAGCAAGAGCAGAGCTGTGCTCGGAAATCCTGTGCATCCCCAATGACTGGGGCTCATCCTGAGAGACAGCAGGACCAGAGTTAACGCCCTGGAGGAGAAATTCGCCCAAAGATCGATTCCCCCATTCACTCAGGGTGATGCGGTGCATTTTCAACATTTGCTTTATTTGACTAAGACATAAAATGTTACTGATGTTTAGTTGTTACTGATGTTTAGTTATCTTACTTTCTTGTATTGTTTTCTTTTGTTACTTTGGGCTTGGGATCTCATCATATTGCCGTGCCTGGTCACAAGCTCCTGGGCTCAGGAGAGCCTTTTCACATAACCTCCGGAGTAGCTGAGGTTACAGCGCAGTTACCATGCCCTGCTCAGTTGATGTTTTAATCATTCTGAAGACGACTTATTTGTAATAGTGCAGGGAAAGAAGGCTTGTCTGACGGGGGTAGTGCTGGCCAGTTTTCTCCTGTTTAACTGAGTGAAAACTAATTAGTAAATTAAGTGTGCTTGAGAAAATTCATCTAATTAGATGAATTTCATGGGCTAATCAAACTATTTGGGGAATTTTCCTGGACTTCTTCACTAGAGGGGGCTAAACACTGCCCCATAAAACATTGCTCCAGATTTAAAAAGCAACAGAAAGCTGAGCGGTGGTGGTGCACACCTTTAATCCCAGCACTCCGGAGGCAGACGCAGGCGGATCTCGGTAAACTCAAGGCCACCCTGGGCTACACGAGATCGAATCTTGTAACATGAAGGGGGCTGGCTTGTTGGGAGTTTTTCTGTCCTGCCCAGCCCACCAGCTGTTTAGTCCCAGAGAAAAATCACACAAGAGATCTCTATAAGTTATAATGCTGATTGGCCCATTAGGTAAAGCTTCTTATTGGCTAACTCTCACATCTTGATTAACCCATTTTTCTGATCTATGTTAGCCATGTAGCTCAGTACCTTTTTCAGTAGGGCAGCTCACATCCTGCTGCTTCGGTGATCTGGGCAGGAGAGGGAAGAATCAACTTCCTCCTCCCCAGAATTCTCCTGTTCTCCTTGCATCATTTCCACTTCCTGTCTGGTTTTCCCACCTACACCTCCTGCCTGGCCAATCAGCATTTATTCAAAACATGATTGACAGAATACAGACAATTTTCCCGCACCACTTCTCCCTCTTTTTTTAAAAAACAAAGGAAAATATCCATAGTCCATTTTTTGGGAATGTGGGCGTAGTATTCCAGGCTACTTCCAGCTGGTTTGGGGTGCTGATAATCTTATGGGGACCTAAAGAAAATTTAAAGTTATGATCAAGTCCTGTGAGTCTTGATCATCTCAGGTAGCAGTCTTGAACCTGTTCTGGATGAATAACTCAGACATCTGGGCCATCTGTTCCTCCGGAGATTACTCAGGTGGTCTCCCTTGGTCAAAGATGATTTTTCTTAACTCAGAATGAATCCACAGCCTCTCATTTTCTGTGGAAACAAAAGCAAAATCTCTTCTCCAAAGTAACATACCTTTTGACTTCAATTTTGAAGCCAAGTTATTTTCAAAATATCTATCTTGGATTAATTCTGCAGCATTTATAAGCAAATATCTTTTAGCAGCTGTTGCTCCTTCCTCAGCATTTAAACAATTTAAAGAGAGAATAATAGCATACAGTATCCAGATTCTCTGTGTATTTTTCATCTTTATGTGGCTTTATTTTAACCTCTATTTCTTTTATTTTTACTTTTAACTTTTGGCTTTTTGAGACAGGTTCTCTGCATATCTTTTCCTGGAACTCCCTCTGTAGACCAGGCTATCCTTGAACTCCCAGAGATCCGTCTGTCTCTGCCTCCCCAGTGCTGGGATTAAAGGTGTGTACCACCACACCCAACTATTCTCTTTCTTTCTTTTGGGGGCTGGCTTGTTGGGGGTTTTTCTGTCCTGCCCAGCCCACCAGCTGTTTAGTCCCAGAGAAAAATCACACAAGAGATCTCTATAAGTTATAATGCTGATTGGCCCATTAGATAAGGCTTCTTATTTGCTAACTCTCACATCTTGATTAACCCATTTTTCTGATCTATGTTAGCCATGTGGCTCAGTACCTTTTTCAGTAGGGCAGCTCACATCCTGCTGCTTCGGTGATCTGGGCAGGAGAGGGAAGAATCAACTTCCTCCTCCCCAGAATTCTTCTGCTCTCCTTGTATCAGAATTTGTCTAGAAGAAAATTAGAGCTCACACAAAGATGATCCCAGCACTTGGGATCACATGCCTTTAATCTTAGCATTTGGGAAGAGGAGCCAGGAGTGATTTGGCTCCACAGAGAGAGAAATGTAAGTAAGGCAGGAGGAGACAGGAGAGCAGATATAGTCTGAAGATTCAGTCTGAGGATGTAGTCTGAGGATGCAGTCTGAGGATGCAGTCTGAGGTTTCCTAGAGAGAGCTTGCAGTCTGAGGATTCATGCAGACAGGATCACCCTTTCAGTCTGGGGTAGAGGTAAGAGCTAGTAGCTTGCTGTTCTGTGTGTCTGATTAACCCATATATCTGACTCCGAGTTTTATTTACTAAGACCAATTAGAATTCATGTTACACTAGACTGCTTCCTGTTGTCTGGAGACACTGGCATTTTTAGGGGACCCTGAGAAAACTGGAATATGGTCAAGTCCTGGGAGAGCTAGCTAGCTGTCCAGTCTCTGTAAAGGGAAAGTGTAAGGCTTGTCTAAAGTCCTGGCTAAAGTCTGTGAGGCTGGACCATCTCAACAAGCAGTCTTGAAGCTGTTCTGGATGCGGAACTTTGAGGAAATTGCAGCAGAGGCACTCTGAGAGACTGGATCACCTAGGCCACCCATTTTCATCGGTGTCTGACCCCTTGCTCTGAAAACACATAAACTTTTAAAGGTCATATGCATATCTGTATTAACACAGGTATGGGACGTGTGATGTGCACAAGTCAGCCCGAGATTCTGTGTTTGAGGAGGTGAAAGACATCTGCCAGCTTTATAAACCCATTTGGACTGCATAGCTGAACGGTAATATAAACTCTGTCCATGCCGTATGAGTGATCAGCTTACACGTCGCCTGTCCTGTAATCTTTCCTGGCTTCTTCCCTCTTGTTTGTAGCCAAGATACTCAGAAGGTCTCCCCTGCTCAAATCTGATCTCTGTTAACTTGGAAGGAATCCACAGCCTTTCACTACCTGTGGAAACAAAAGCATAACCTCTTCCTCAGCATAATACATTTTTTGACTTAACATTTTAAAGTTAAAATATTCATAAAGTATATAGGTTTAATTCAGGAGCCCCTTCCACAATCCAGTGTCTCTCCGCAGCTGTTGTCTGTTCATTAGTGTTCAGAATTAACAAAGCGCCATCTAAGGTCCAAACTCGTGTGTTATAAGATTTCCCACCCTTACACGGCTTATTCTCTCTTTTTATTACTTTATTCATTACTTTACTTCTCTTTCTAAAGATTTCGCCTTATTATTTTTAATCTATTTATTTTTTTGTGACTTTCTATACCCTTTTTTCTTTTTACTAAAGCTGGAGCATATTGTTAAACACACTATAACCTGTTTAGAGTTTTTTTTTTCTATCTGAACCTGCTTTATTGCATATGTGTAACCCTTTCTGACTACACGAGCAAAACCTGAAGCAGCCTGGCAGCTTAACTCCTGGGACACTGGCAGCTCCAGCCTAAGGCAGCCTGTATAGAGACTGCGGGACTAGGAAGCCATGTTTGGCTCTGTTTTTCTGTGTTTAGAGCCTTTTTAAAAAGCTTTTTCAGATCTTATGTAGAAATATGTGTCTCCATGTTGGACACCATTTGTAGACAGTCTTTTTTAGCAGAACTGTCGGTGCCCCAATAAATAACTTATTAACAATTACAAAAACTCAGCTGATATCTTAGGTTTGCTTCTAATTAGGTCTTATAATTTAAATTAGCCCATATTTTTTAATTCATGTTCTTTTACGTGACTCAGTTACCTTTACTTTGTAATGTCCATGCTGCTTGCTCTACATGTCTTGGTGACTCTGCCTTCATCTTTCTTGTACCCTCTGTGCCTGGAAATCATGCCAAGCTATTGGCCATTCAGCTGTTTACTAAGACAATCAGAGTGACACATCTTCACAGTGTACAAAAAGATTATTCTACAACACTATCTTTTTTTATAATAGCCACGTATATGATTTTGGCCCAGTTACCAGCAATTTAAAAGCCCTATTTAAAAAGAGAAGAAAGCGTATTAACTTACTCATTTTCTCTGGCCCCATTTATACTGCTGCACATAGCAAAATTTTAGATAGGTTTCACCATTCTCAATTTACATTGAGAAAGGCCACACATGCACCTAGGCTCTGTCCAGAGTTTCAACACCAAACAATATCTGTTTTCTTGGCAATCAAGAGATATCTAAATAAACCTCACCACAAATGAGTGTAAAATGCCCAAGAATCGAAATTTGGATAGCTTTATATACAAGATTTGTTTTTTTTTAAAAAATATTTATGTATATGAGTGATTTGCCTGCATGTATGTGTGCACACCATGTGTGTGCCTGGTATTCATTGAGGCCAAAGAGGGGCACCAGATCTTCTAGAACTGGAATTGCAGAGCCACCATGTGGGCAGTGGAGCTCAAACATGGGTTCTCTGAAAGAGCAGCCAGCGTTCTTAGCTTATAAGCCAGCTCTTCAGGGTTGGATTTTTTTTTTTTAATGCAAGGCAGAAAATAAGCCCAGTATTGTGCTTTTGTTTGTTTTTGATAATGAAGGAGAACATCTTAAGGTCAAATTCAACTTTAGAAGCTCTTTTTACTGTGAGTTTTACCGGGTTAGCCGCTCCAGGTTCTTGCCTTGACTTCCTCGCCATGATGGATTCTATCCAGGAACTGTTGAGCTGAAACAAAGCCCTTCTCCCAAAGCTGCTTCTTGTCCAGATGCTTTATCACAGCAACGGCAACGAAAGCATGCTTCAAAGTGTGCGCCTGAGAGACAGAAACACCTGAATTCTCATTAGTTCTTCTTTCCCTTCCCTGAGTTACACACAGCTATAAAGCACAGCTTTAAAGGTGTAATGAATGGCACCGAGTGACGGGAAAATGAGGACAGAGGCCAGTGACGGGCTACTAGAGAAAAATTAGCCCCAACGGACACCGCCGTTGTGTGCCCTTTGCCACACCCCAGTTTTTATCTCAGACACAGGTAACCACTTCCTACTCTTGCATTTAAACAGAGGAAACACAGCTGACAGAGGAAATCTAGGTTCAGTGTAACCACAAGAAAAGACACCCTCTGCTCTTTGCAGAAGGACAAGGCTCCTATGAAGGACAAAGTGGAAACTCGGGAAAACTGCCCACAGGAGGGAGACCACTCACGCGCACACGTTACATGAAGAGTGCCCATTTCCCTGGGAGCGGCAGGACTGCGGAGTCCGTCCATTAGCATGAGAACTTGCTGCAGAGACGAAGAATGTTTCAAAGTCTTAGGGGGTTAGGATAACAAATGTTTTCCGCCAGCGTTTATACATTTATCAGAGTTTGAGAAACATTTTCTGTTTCCTACAGTCAATCAGGGCCATGGCTAGCAGAGTCTTTACTTCAGCACAGGCTTCCACAATCTCACAGGCATATGAAAACGGAAGTGACGTCAGCACAGGCTTCCGCAATCCCACAGGCATATGAAACCGGAAGTAACAACATACACAGCAGCTTTCAGAATTCCCACCCGGACAGCATCATTCTGCTCTTTCCTTTCATCAATCAGAGCAAATCACTAGGGCACTGCTGACCTCAAAGGCGAGTAAGAAGAATAAGTAATTTCATTATATGTTCAGAAAGAGAAACAGAATATCAAGGAACAAGCTGAAAGGTCACCACAGGAATTGCAGCGCTAACTTAGTAAGGGGGCGTGCACATGGACCTCCCTTTATTTCTGTGCTTTCAAAAGTTATCAAGGCTTTCTATGTGCCTGGATGCACTGCATCAGCCGCTCCGATTTACAAATATCAGAAACTCTCCACTTCTGACTCTACCTGAATAAATCATGGGATCAACATCAATGGCTTAACTAACTGTTAAACCAAAGGCATCCCATGGGATTCTCCAAACAACCCAGACTGTTGCCAAGATTACCAAGGGTTGCTCTCCACAAACTGACAGCAAGGCCTCATTGCTGGAGACAACAGGTACACAACTCACTGAACACGGGGAAGTTTGACTGGTGCCTACATCGAGCCTTCATCCCTACAAGTTAGCACCTTCGGCTTCGGTCCAGGTAGGAATTCTGGACACTATCAAAGGAGAAATGTAAACATCAAGCCAGCCACAACACCCTTTGATCTACAATGGTGTCCTCCTGCATGCAGGATATGCTATGGCAATGGTGGCACAAAACTTGTGGGGTAACCAACCAATAACTGATTTGACTTAAGACCCACTCCAGGAGATGGAACTCATACCCAACACTGCTTCGGTGACCAAGAACCTGAAACTAGGTAGCCCAGTACCTAGGGTAAAACAAATACTACTGTTCTATAAAAAGAAAGGAAGGAAGGAAGGAAGGAAGGAAGGAAGGAAGGAAGGAAGGAAGGAAGCAGGAAAGAAGGAAGGAAAGAAGGAAGGAAGGAGAAAAAACCCAACAACAATAAATGTAGCAATAAAATAACACCTAATTACATTCTGTTATACTCATAGGCCAGTGCCTTAGCCATCATCAGAGACACTTCCTCATACAGCAGATGGGAACAAATACTGAGACTCAGAGCCAGACACTATGCAGAGAATGAAAGACCTTGAAACACTCAGCTCCAGATGGGATGTCTCCGTCGAATCCTTCCCCTCAGGTCTCAGAACCCCTGCAGAAGAGGAGGCAGGAAGAGTGGAAGGTCTAGAGGGGATGGTGGACACCAGCACAAGGCTCTCTAAATCAGCACGACCAAAGCTCACATGAGCTCACAGAGACTGAAGCAGCAAGCACAGGGCCTGCACAGGTCTGCACCAGGTCCTCTGCATATGCATTACCGCTTCGAGTTTGGTGTTTTTATGGGATTCCTGAATGTGTGAATGATTGGGTCTCTTGCTTTTCTTTTTCTTCTTTGGTTTTTTGAGACAGGGTTTCTCTGTGTAGCCCTAGCTGTCCTGGAATGCGCTCTGGCCTCGAACTTACAGAGATCAACCTGCCTCTGCCTTCTTAGTGCTGGGATTAAAGGTGTGCGCCACCATGGCTGGTGGGTCTCTGTTTCTTGTGCCTTCTCTTGGACTCTTTTTCCTTCACTTTGCTTTGTCCAATTCTAATGTGTTCATTTTTATTTTATTATTTTTATTCATGCACCCTTCTCTAATGAGACATAAAGTGGTGGATCTGGATGGGAGGGGTGGTGGGAGGACCTAGACAGAGTAGGGAGAGGGGAAACTATATTCAGGATTCATTATATGAAAAAATTCTATTTTCAGTAAAAGGGAGGAAAAGAGTTTACCTGCATATAACTCATTGCAAAACAGATTTAGTTATTTTAAATGTCCTTAGTCACCTGGAAGTAAAAATCTACCTTGAAATTAGGATTTTTAAAGAAATTGTTATTTTTAGTTACCGTTCACTCTAGGAAATATATTGAAAGTAAAGTGAACATCTCTAGAGTCTCTGGCTCCTGGGCCCAGAAGGAGAACCTATCTATCCCCAGCCCCACTCACTGGCCCCTGGGACCAGGAGGAGGGCCTATCTATCCTCAGCCCCACTCACTGGCCCCTGGGACCAGGAGGAGGGTCTAGCTATCCCCAGCCCCACTCACTGGCCCCTGGGACCAGGAGGAGGGCCT